TCAAGTGGTTCTTTAAAAAATAGCAATTCATAGAGACCCGGCGTTCCCTCATACCTAATATTGTTTACCTTGATATCGGGGCCAACGAAATCCACTAAACTGTTACCAATTTTCCATTTCTCTGTGTCAATGTCATGCACTAATCCGTGAGTATGATCCAGTTCTCGTTCGCTCTTTATGGACATATCTACGAAACTTCTAACTAGCGGATGAAAAGATGCAAGATATTGTTCATAGCTTTCACTTTTTGTAAGTTCGAGAATATTTTGCTGTATGTCAGCAAGGGAAGGTTCTTGAAAAGTTTCATCATGAGGATCGCTCTGCGTGGGAGGATTATTATAATTTGTAAAAAATACATCTTCATCGTAATCATAACCAGAAAGATTAGATATCTGCTGTTGAGGGGGAAGGTACTTTCTATAAATATTTGTGTCTCGTGGCCGATTTTTAGATATTAAAAATGATTGATCGTAGTCATTATTTTTTCCAGCTCCTTTCTCCTCATCTTCCTCCCCCTTCTCTTTCTTTATACCTGTAGCACTAGCTTCCGATTTAATGTTCTTGATTAATTCTCGAAGTGGTTCCGTTATAGGTTTGAATTCTTCATATCGACGACTCTCCGATTTCACGCTTTCTGACTTTAATTGCCTATATTTGCGTTTTACTGCTTTTCTAGCCTTAACTAGTTCCTTAGCCGTTTTCTCATTCATAATATTATTGTTGTTTATTAAAAGACTCAGCGATACATACTAACAATATTTTATATCAGTTACTTACATATATATGTTAAAAATAGATAAAACTGTCAAAACCCTGTCTGTATCGACCATTATTTATTGGGCAGTCTTTGCCAATAACTACAAAATCATATTTATATTTCCAGGACAAACCACATAATTCTTTAAATTGTAAGAACGACATATCGGTGTTGACATGATCATCGTAAATGTGTCTCAAATTTGTACTGTCTTGCTTGAATATGATCAGTAAATTGGCATTATCTCTTACAAGTTGTTTAGGTATTGATGTGTATGTTTGACAAGAATAGCGACAATCAATGTTATTGTGTCTTCCAAAGGAGAAATATTCTCGAAGTATATTTTGATGTTCACATATGATATCGTCAAAAATAACAATTGAGTTATTTTTTATGTCATTTGGAAATAAGATACTTTCATTGTCCGATCCCTCAAAATAACCAATTTTTTTAAGTGACTTCAGTACCTTTCTTAAAAAATCATATTTATCTTGATATAGCGTTTTGAATAAATATACACGTTTTCAAACCTTAAACCATTAATATCGGTTAATAGCGATATCATAACATTTGTTTTTCCACAACCTGACGGACCAATTATCAATCCTCTTTTACAAGTTCCGCCAAAAAGTGGTCCATGTTTTTGAAATTTATTTTCAATTATATCATAATTTTTGACTGTTAAAATATGTGATTGTTTTTTAACTCGCATATTGCACGTGATGCACATTCGATGTGTGATCGAAAAAACGCCTATATAAGCACTGAGTGCTAAGTTACCTTTCAAATTATTATATACAGTAGAGTAGTAGTAACATATAATGAGATATAATGATAAATCACAATTTATCGATAAACATTCCGCACGGAACGGTCAAACGAGAAGGACGTGGCATATTGAACACATTAATTAATAAATTGCCTATTGAATTACACATTCCAACTTATAATTATTGTGGACCAGGAACAAAACTCAATAAACGACTTATACGTGGTGATAGAGGTAAAAACCCCTTAGACGAGGCCTGTAAGCAGCACGATATTGCCTATTATTTGTCTTCGGATTTGAAGGCGAGACATCAGGCCGACAGGATATTAGCGAACAAGGCAATAGATCGATTTAAGTCATCAAACGCTTCTTTGGGCGAAAAAGCCGTTGCTCTTGGAGTGGCGGGAATAATGAAGGCAAAGTCAAAATTAGGAATGGGTATTATTCGAAAGAGACCTGGAAAAAAACCCAGCAGCAACAACAAGAAATTGGGAAAAGGAATATATTTTGCAGCAGCTGTGAGAAGAGGTCGTAAGGGTATAGCCGGTAAAAAATATAAAAGTATTAACAATGCAATTAATGATGCCCTAGTGTCGATTAAAAAGGGCAACGTAGCTGTACACAAACCACGCTCCCGAATTATACCTGTACCGAAAAAAACCGGTGGAATATTACCCCTGATTCCATTGTTTGCTGGTTTGTCAGCTCTAGGAGCTCTAGGCAGTTCCGCTGCAACTATAGCTAATGCTATTAATGTGGCAAACAGTGCAAAAAATAAGTTAGCCGAACAACAGAGACACAACAGAGCGATGGAAACAATACCAATTGGAAAGGGTCTTTTTCTAGGTCCGTATAAAAAAGGGTGTGGTTTATATTTAAAACCATATTCAAAAAACCATTAGAGATGCTACCACGCAACAAACCTCTCTCCAATTTAGATTTGTATAAGTTTGTGAAATTGTTGAAAATACCAAATTTTCGAGGCATTTTTATGCGTGATAATTTACCAAAAAAAATTAAACAATATGAGTCGGGGATTATTAATTTAGATCGTTCTGTTGGAGAGGGTACACATTGGACCGCCTACATAAAGCAGAATAAAAACATAGTTTATTTCGACAGTTTCGGAAATTTACCACCACCAATGGAACTTATAACATATTTTTTTAGCGATGGTAGCCAAAATAAAATTGTTTATAATCATGATAGGTATCAATCGTTTGATTCATTTAACTGTGGCCATCTTTGTTTGAAATTTCTTTATAATAATAAGTAACAAGTATTTTAAGATTATTGTCACAAATATTTCATAGAGTGAACAACATCAATAAGAATATAATGTCTTTTACAATTGCACTATCTGCACAGTCTGCAACACTAAAATCCGATTTTCATCCACCAATATACCTGGATCCAAATGCAGAGTATGTTATTGGTCTCACAAATTTTGAAACATTCAACGCTATTCCAAATATTGATGAGACAAATAATAAGATTTTCTACGGCAGTAGTGGTAAAGATTATATAACAATACCACCGGGCAGTTATGAAATTCAAGATTTAAATAGGAATTTAACGAAAAGTCCATTACATTCAAAGTATTTCCCAATAACAACACTTTGAAATCGGTCATTCGTTCGACCACAGATATAACATTTAAAGATGGGACAATTGGAAAAATTCTAGGCTTTAACAATGGAACTGTAAAGGGAGACGGTTTTGATCATATGTCAGACAATCCTGCCGAGATTATAAAAGTCAACTCTTTGTGTATCGATTGCAGTATTGCTGAAGGTTCCTACCTTAACGGAAAACCTGTACACATAATACATCAGTTTTTTCCCAACGTACGTCCTGGATACAAGATAATCGAGTCACCACAAAATATTCTATATTTCCCAGTGACAGTTAAAGTTATTGATAAAATTACAATAAAAATTATTGACCAAGACGGACAACTTGTCAATTTTCGCAACGAAACCGTTACATTACGATTGCATATTAAAAAATATAATGGCAATTTTTTATAATAAAATAGGAGCGAAACATTCGAAACAGTAACGACGGCAACGACGACGACTACGACGACGACGAAAAAAAAGGACCCTCCTTATAAGAACGTCACTCGGCAGAAAAAAATACTCAGTTCAAAACTTGGCACCCAACGGTTAACAAGTGCTAACAAGAATTTTTTAAAAGCGCTGGGTTTTAAAGTGAAACACATATAAAAAGAAAATGGACGTGCTCAATCTAAATGAAAAAATCTTTATCGATAATTCCATAGTTCATACTGCGGCGCGGGCGCTCCAGTTGTCATGAGAGTGGAATTTGATTTGAAAAAGGACCTAGATAAGAATACATCAGCGTACTGTCTCATCTTACACGATAAAATTTTCAGCTATAATCCCCTAACAAAAATCGTAAAACAATTATACACCTTTTTAAAAACGAAAATCAAATTCATTCTAGTATCGGTTTTCTCTCAGAGTGTATGTGCACGCGACGTAATTGTCGGAGAAAAAGAGAGCGAGATGAAAGTTTTCTTAGATGTACAGGGCTTCAAAATTGAAAATGAGAAATTTGTGCCTAAAGAATTGGCAGCCTACAATGGACAACAACAAATATGTCATTATATTTTTAAAAGTCCCTTTCCCATGGATAACTTTTCACCTCATTATGCGCGGCAAGCGATTTGATTAATTAATAATTACCATTGTATAAAGTGGAATGAGGGTTTTACATCGTTGCATGAGTTTCATACCATCGTTAGAAATCTGACAGAAAAAGCCGAATGTGTCTACGTTAAAGGAAAGGAAAAGGCCGATTTTATTAGGAAACATTGCACAAAACCGGTACTAGAGCTGGACGAAAATCGACCTGGCGCTACTATAAGGAAAACGTCACCTTCCTGTTTTTATCATACAAAATCACCCTGTATTTGTGCCTTATCAAATGTATTTAATTTATATAATTGTTTTAATATCTAATTATTTTCTTATTGTATGTAATAAAGACACTATTTTAAAAATAAATAGGTAGTTTTATTTTAAAAAAAGACAACGTTTAATGAAAACAAGTTTCGACTTGTTTAGAATATAAAATCTACGACTTTATAGATTGTACACCAACCACAAGAAAAAATTTTTATAGAAAAAGAAAAAAATGTATATAACATTATAAGTGTAATAAAAATCAATAAGGTTTTTTTTTACTCTGACATTTACAAAGATTCAAACAAAGAAATATATTTGAATAGGAAAAAAAATCAGGGAAAGGGATATAATTAGCATAAAGATCTAAACTATGTAACGCTACAACTTATAAACGTAAAACTATTCATTTTACAGATTGTCTTCACTGCATGTGATCAACTAGTATTTTTCTAATTCTATATTATTTTTTATTTTTGCAATATGACTACAATTCCGTGTACTTTACTAATACAAAGTAAAGATAAACTTAATTTTCCTACTAAAATGCTTTTCGTTGTAACAAAACAATTATTTAGGTAAGTTATCTTAAAATATTATTAAATAAATAATACATTTTATATACATTATTTAGCTATGGTATCAAGGACATTTCCATTAAAAAAAATATGGTTTTCGTTGCCCTTACATACACCCCCAAAAATACAACACTGCAAAAAAATTTGGGAATCTGCCAGTTAGATACGCACGATTGAAAATCGACAATGAAATTGAATTAAGCATGTTAGAGAAAGCCTGGCACGCCTATAAATTTAATTTAATTGATGAGGAGGAGGGGGAACCCTCCAACGCTGTAATGGCAAATGAAAAAAGTAAGTTATAAAAAAACTGAAATTTTATAAAATATCTTTGATAACACTTTCTAGATATTATATCTATGCTACCGTCATCGTTATCACGAACACCACCACCACAAGCATCAACGTCCCGCCAAGAAATTTCCGAATCTCAAATGACTTTTATCGGCAACAAAAACAACAACAATAGTGAGGATCATCACTCATCAAATTCAAAAAAACGGAAACATGATGGAGGAGATATAAAGAAAAATAAGAAAATGGCACAATTTGTAGACCCTATTATTATTATTGAAGGGGAAGAGGGCAGCTACGAAGGCGGCAGCGGCGGCAACAGTCAAGAATCGCAAAGATTTTTTTAAAATAACTATTTTCTCTCTCTTTGAAGGCGCGGTATAATAAAACTGAATTAAATATACCGATATAAAATTATAATTGCATTTTATTTCAATATGAGCAAGGGCGTGAGAAACAGGATATACCTATCGGAAAATATCCCCTCTTAGACACAGAATAAAAGTATTTATATGATAATCTAGGTAAGTAATGTTCAGTTTTAATCAACTTATAATTTAAAACGCTACAATCAAAATAATGTCTCAGAACAACAACAGCAGCAGTCTTTTGGACACTTAAGTGAAGAGATTGTTAAAAGAATAGATCAAGTGGGTAAGTTAATTAAAATAAAAGATGATATTTTGAAATGGATAAAATATTTAAGAAATATAATTTCATTAACTAGAAAATATTTAAAATGTGAAAAAATCAACATTAAAAGCTACAATAAAGTAAAATCTAATTTATCTATTCTAAAATGTTTTTATGAAGTCCTCAAGTCAAAGTATAACATTAAATTTCGAAATAGCTCTAAATCTAAAAGGCAGATGTTGTGTTGGAAAGATGTTGAATCTTGTTTTAATAATCGTATAAAAACAGGAACTATTGTCAATTATAAAGTAAAAGATCCTAAAATATTTTTTAAAAAAGCCTTCCGAAACTTCTCCATTAAAATAAAAAAAGAATTAATGATTGCTATTCTAAAAAGTAAATGTTATATTTTATGCGAATTTTATATAAAATACAGAAATGGGTGGAAAACATATTAAACACTTTATACAAAAAATTCTGTCATTGATCAACAAAACTTAAATTAAAATTTTTTTTTTTTTTTATTTTTTGAAAAATAAAAGTTTTATCTAAATTGGAAGAGTTTCAGGAACGAGATTCAGGATGGGCGCTTTATGAAATAATACAATTGAAGGTAAACATTAATAATTTCTGTCCTATCAATGTGGGTATTTCAACCTATGTTGAAATGCCTAGTTTTATAAAAAATACGAAAAGCGTTTTAAACATTCACAATAATGATCAGTATTGTTTCTTATACGCAATATTAGCCTATTTATATCCAGCACATTTGAATAAACATCCTCAACGTGTCTCATCTTACCCTCATCCAAGTCAAATTTTAAAATATGAGGGAATATACTTTCCAATAGTTTTAAAAGATATTGTTAAACCCCTTGAAAAAAATGAATAATTATCAATTTAATGTTTTCACAATTGGGAAAAAAAAGATGTTGTACCAATAGCCCTAAGCAAATAAATTTTCCAACATGCATCAATTTACTAATGCTTTCAAAATATCAACTAAATGATGATGTGGTAAAAGAGACCGATTTAATGGACAGAGATAATAGTGAAATAGTAAAAAATATTTTTTTTTTTTTTTTTTTTTTTTTTTTTTTTTTTTTAATTACTAATTTATCTAGATTGCTAAATAGACAAGTTGGTTATAAAAGTCATAAAAAAAAAAAAAATGGTTTTGTAATCGATGTTTTTAAAGTTTTTCTTTAGAAATGTACTTAAAACGACATATGATCGATTGTAGAAATATTAATAAAACAAAAATTCTGTACCTTCTGAGGCGAATAGGGCACTTTTAAAAATTTAAAAATTTTAACAAATAAAGAAAAAGTTCCATTTGCTATTTATGGAGATTTAGAATTTGCCTTATTGGAGAAAAAACTACAATTTAAAAGTTTCTAGTAAAGATTAAGTTATCAAAAAAGCACATTCCATTACTATTGCTTATTTATTTAAAATGTTCTTATGACGATTCGCTATCTAAATTTGAATTGTACACTGGCAAAGACTGTATTTCATGGTTTATTAAACAACTACATGAAATTGCTCTAAAAGGTTAACAAACATATTATCAAATCCCGTTCCAATGAAAAAACTTACCGAGGAACAAAAAATATCATTTAAATAACGAGAAACTGAACTATGTTACCAATTTTACCGACCGATAGAAAAGTTAAAGATCATTGCCATTTGACTGGCAACTATCGTGGATGTTGTCATTCCATTTGTAACCTAAACTATACAGATCAGCATGTAATTCCCGTAGTATTCCACTTTCTATCTGGATATGATAGCCATTTTTTAATTAGATCCCTTAGTACTGAAATTCCTGGGTAAATTTCACTTCTTCCTGTGAATAAGGAAAAATATATTTCATTTACTAAGTATATTGATAACACAAAAATTTCCTTTCGTTTTCTAGATTCATTTCGTTTTATGGCTAGCAGTTTAGATAAGTTAGCATCTTATTTAAAACAAAAATCAAAAAAATATAATAAAAAACCATTGTTAAGAGTGAAACTGAATTTGAGTTACTACAAAGAAAAGGAATATTTCCATACGAATATCTAGATTGTTGGGAAAAATTAAGTGAAACGAAATTACCACCAAAAGAGGCATTTTACAGTACTCTAACAAATTGTCATATTAGCGAAAGTGAATATGATCATGCTAAAAAAGTTTGGTATGAATTTCAGATACAAAATTTTACAGCAAATATGCCGAAACTGTATCTTAAAACCGATGTATTTGCTTTTATTAAGTTGACATTTGAAAAATTTTTTTTTTATTAAATAAATTAATACATATCAATTAGATAGCTTACATTATTTTAGTTCACCAGGGTTAGCTTTTGACTCGATGCTGAAAATTTCAAAAAATTGACAAAAAAAAAAAAAAAAAAAAAAAAATGAATTTTATTTTCAAAAGGTATCCGTGGTGGACTATCACAATGCTCCAATCGTTATGGGAAAGCAAATAATATTATATGGCCGTAAAGAGGGATATAATGAAAATGAACCTTCATAATATTTGATGTATTCGATGTAAATAATTTGTATGGAACTAGTATGAGTTTACCATTACCAAGCAGTAATTTTAAATGAGTTGAGGACATATACTCAATTGATATACTTAATGTTCCTGATGATAACGAAATTGGCTACGTGATAGAAGTTAACATATACTATCCTAAAATTTACCATGCATAAACATAAAACATCACCACTCTGTTCCGAACATTTAGTACCACCAACTTCACAATTAAAAATACCAAAATTACTTCTTACGCTTTTAGTAGATAAAAAAAGAGTATATTATTCATTATAGAAATTTAAAAAACAAATTTTTTTTTTTTTTTTTTTTATAATTAAAAAATTCATAGAATTCTAGAATTTAAACAATCTTGTTGGATGAAAAAATACATTTTTTTTTTTACTTGTTTTATATTTTGAATTAAAAACGATTTTGAAAAAATTTTTTATAAACCCATGAACAATGCGGTTTTTGGTAAAACAATGGAGAATGTTAGAAAATACAAAGATATTGTTACGGATTCCGTGGGTCGACTATTTAAACTCACGATAAAATACTTAACGAATTTATTTGTTTCACTCTGTACACACAACTTATACTATTTACAACACAACTTATGCAACTACTATTACTCTAACGGTATTTCGCGGTATTATCAAACTTCAGACTATCTTCAGACTTGACTTCAAACTTTAAACTTCAAAAGCGGGCCTTATATACCCCCTGGCGGTTGTTTCTAGATTTTTCTAAAGAATTCTATAATTTTCTTTACTTTCTGGCGAATGCGCCAGGTTCCTCAAGGCACGTTGCGGTTATGCAACCAGTAATACACCTTGACCTTAACAATATTAAGTTGGTTACTAGGTGGGCGGGACGGTATGGGGCACGTGATTACATATCTGAACCAATTTTTAACAGTTGTACAATTTTCGATAACGATATGGTTGTTATTGAAATGGACAGCGTTGAATCCGGTACACAACATCATTTATCCTCTTGATGACTGTATAAGGACCTTCCCATGCTGGAGTTAACTTTGGGGACCTTCCTTTCTTGCGCTGTGGGTTATACAACCATACCCTATCGTCTTGTTGAAATCCCGTAGAATTAGCTCTGAGGTCGTAACGAGCTTTCATCCGGTCACTGGCTAGCGTAATCTTACTTCTCACGGCCTTATGAATTCCCAGTAACCTTTCCTTCCTAACGATTCTTTCGAACGACAGTCCAACGTTATCTTGTTCCATTTTCCTCAGATCGAGTACTTGGTCCTTGTCTAGCTGCACAAGTTTTACATTATCGACACCATTTCTTGACATCTTCGCAATAATCCACCCAGTAAAAACGATCTCCCAGCTTGCTCAAGGTCTTGTTTACTCCAATATGGGCTCCAGTTTTACCACAGTGAATTTCTTCAATACCTGGGTAACTTTCTTCCTTGGTACCAGTAACTGGGTTGTTACTGTCCTGCCATCCGCACTTTCCCACGTGCGTTTAACAATCCATTCTCAATAGCCAGTGAATTCCACTGAGCCCAGAGAGCTTTGAAAACGAGCCCTCTGTCCGCAATATCCTGCCACGGTGGTCTCTCGCCGTTACCTCCCTTGAGCCGTAGTATTGCTCCGATGTCTGGATCTTCCATTTGGTCTTTCCTCAATTGTGTCGTCGTCCACTTTTCATCGGTTCCAAGTTTTAAACTCCTTATCATGACAGTGCCTTCATGTTGTTCCGTTTTACAGCAGTGCTTACAATCGGTTTGACAGGGTCTTCTGGATAAACCGTCTGCGTTACCATGCATTTTCCAGCACGATGTTGGATGGTAAAGTGATACTGTTGGAGCTTCTGGAGCCATCGTGCTATTTGACCTTCAGGTTGTTTTCATCTCCATAAGCCACTTGAGCCGCATGATCTGTCCTAATTAAAAATTCTTGGCCGTACAGATATTTATGAAAATGATCAACTGCCTTCACAATTGCTAGCAGCTCCTTCCGGGTAACGCAGTAATTCCTTGCTGGTTTGGATAGAACTCGACTGTAATATTCTATCACTCGTTCTTCGCCATCTTGCACTTGTGATAGCACTGCACCGATGCCGATGTTGCTGGCGTCGGTATCCAGGATATACCTCCCTTGTTGTTGTGGGTAGGCTAAAATGGGACTTGAACATAAAGCCGCCTTGAGTCTTCCCAAGGCTACATCACAATCGGTGTTCTATTCGCCGACTTCATCACCTGTAAGTCTGTAAGGGTGCAGCTATATTGGCAGATCCCTTGACAAATCTTCTGTAATAGGTGTATAAACCCAGAAAACTTCTAAGTTCATGTTTGTCGCGAGGTTTAG